TGAGTTTCAGGTGACAGTATTTATAAAGAAAAGTAAAAATAGAGAAATGAGGCAACATCAAGATTGATAACATAAATTTCCAGATCATAAACTTAAGAAAATTATTTGAGACCATTTAATACTCAGAAACGTCTAAATAGTTATTTGGTTAATAAAGAATAACAAATCTGGATGTTCAATTCCCCAGATCACAGAAATGTTAATTTTCCACTAGTTCTCTAAACAATCAACCAAAATAAAGATAAATAAGTAAATAAAGAGTTATTATTTGGCTCTGAAAAGGTGAGTATAAAAAGAAACAAAATTATGGATCACAAATAATACATGATCAACAGGAAGAAAATGAAAAAACTGTATCAAAACCAATGTTCAAGTTTTTTCAAGGTTGCTGGTAATGCCAAATACAGCAAAGCTAAACAGTAACACAAAAATTGTTTATTGCCCCATCACTCCCGCTATTAACCTTGCGTTAACACTTTTCCCTAAATCTTTCAATTTCACTCAAAAGGTACAAATTGATGCTCTTAAATATTCACTTTATATTTTCCTCCCACCTGCCAATCTATCCTCACTTCCCTGTCCTTTTGGTCCACAGTGTCATTAACTTAAGTTTTTTTCTTACTTATCCCCAATCTTCCCTAACTACTAAATCTTATCTCCTGTATCTAAATTCCTTTACACTGATTTTTCAATCAGTTATGTCTTGCCTTCTATTTGGCTGGTCTACTCTATCTTGAGCTGGCATCTAACCATTCCTAAATTGTCAAGATCTCTCCCCATCAAAGCTATAAGCTCTTCCAAGGGAGTAGTATTTTATATTTCCCTGTATTATTCACAGTGCCCTAGCTACTCAATAAATTACTGTTCAGGAACAAAATAGGCTAAATCTAGTATGAAGCTAGAAAAATGAAAATTCAACTGTACCATTAACTCTTCATGATGAAAAAGGCTTAAGAATCTAACCAGGTCTAATCTACAGGTCATATTTTAACCCTAAAATTACAAAGTTACACATAACTCTTATTCCCAATTAATAGTTCTAAGGAGTCTAACACAAAGACATGACCAAACATTAACAATCTTTTTGTACTGCAAACCTAAGGTATTGTGGACACTCAGTCTCCAAAATATGGAGGGGGGTGGGGAACACGACCAACCTTGTTTACCATCTGTCTTATATTCAAACTCCTATTTGCAGTTAACACATCCAAAATCAAATGATTACTCTGTAAATGATTCCCAAAGAGTGCCTGATAGAAATAGTTCTCTTTTCTACATTTCTTAGTATTTGTATGTACATATTTACCCCTTCATAGTTATACCTCTTCAACGAAAGATCAAGCTACACAATCTCTAATTTATCTTAGTATTCCCAAGGCCAGGCGCACAGTAAATGATAAATAAGGGTGATACGAATTAATGAATTACAAATCAGAGGCTTTAAGTTTTCTTTATGTGCAGATTTCTTTTTTCAGAAGAATTCTTAAGTCGAGTACATTTAACAACAAAAATAGAAGCTGCCGGGCTGTCAGAAGAAGTCTCAAGGCATCTAGGAAAAAATCCATAAGGGGTTTAAGTAATAGTTTTAAAAGCAATTAAAGTTCATACTTAAAATTCTCAGCACTGAATTATTTCTCTTAATTTCTAATAGGGTTTTTCCTGGTTTGATAAAATGATTAAGTACAGCCTTCATTTAAACAAATAGGAGCTTGATTACTCAAGTCATCAAATGATGGATTCACTTTATCAAGGTTTCTTCATTCATTTTAGAAAACCAAGCTCCCTTGGAATACTTTAAATATATTTCACAAACGTTTTTTTAGGAACACAGATATTATTGAAACAGAAATATGTTTCTTGAGTCAGTTATATTACCTGTCTACCTTCTTGGTGTGCAAAGAAAAAAATCATGGGTCTTACAGCTCTAAAAATAGTTTTTAAAATAATTTCTATAGAAACTGTAGTTTCGAGAATTGAAATTTAACTCTCTAGCCACCAAGAAAACTTCTATTATGCCTTTTCATACTAAAAGGCAACACTTACCTTAAGGCCTGCTAATATTGAAAAAAGTTTAGTAGTCTTCATAAGACAGAACTTTTACTTCAACAGAAAAACCTGAGTTACAAAACTATTTTCTAAGCTGTACCCTAAGTTCAATTCCAAAAAAAAGGAATGCAAATGACAGTATTTTATTCCTTTAAAAAAAATCTCAACTTTCAAGGTCAAAATAATTATTTTCTCCAAAAGACTAAGTGTATTAAATCTGCTTTTCAAACAGATGGGAAATAGGCAAAACATTTTGGAGATGTGATAGAATTTAAGATACTAATTTTGCAAGACATTTTTAAAACAGCTAATGTAATATTTTTAAATGGGGTGAGGTGCTAAAAAAAATGACGAAGTATCAGAATTCTGTGACAACTCTGATAGCCAAGTGTAACCCACCCATTCCTCAATGCTCTTATAAGGAACATATAGAAAGAATGGTAAAATAATTGGTGCTGAGGTGGGTTAAAAAAAAAATGTAGCCTGCATGACATGACAACCAAATCAATTGTTTTTTAGTCATCTGTGCCCTTCTGACTGAAGTCCGCTTTAAGTCAATCAGATCAATAGCGCAATAGCATATTTCTTGAGTGTTAAATACACAGATATACCTAGCTTTTCAATCATGTATGTTTACTGGTAAAGTGCTCCAAGGGCTATGGAAGTCTTTGGTGATACACACTCAACACTCTTTCCCTCTGCTTTACTACAGATATGGTAACGTGGGTCAGTCTGAGAGAATAAATGAAAAGGCCAAAAGTGAGAAAGCAATCTAAAATGGAAATAAAACCTTAACCTGAAAACTATCCAGTCGGTCACCTATATGGTATGTATATCTAAAACTACTCATTAAGAATATAGTTTTATCATATTGAAGTCAAATAAACTGGAATTGACAGGTAAAACATCTCAAAACACATTTCATTAATGTAGCTTAACCAAATATTTTTCCAAATAGCTGCACCTGGATCAAATTTTTGTTAAAAGAACCATTTTAAATGGAGACTCTGAGAAATACTTCATGAGGTGAATGCAAATGTATTCAATGTACTCCCCCCCCCCCCAATACTTTCTAATTGAGTATGGGTTTGGATGTTTAAAGTGATGGCAGCAAACCCCTCCCACCCCCCCCCCACAACACCTGTAGAAGGCAGCACAGCATAGGCAAAGATCAGCCGATACAAGGACGTATTCCACCGTCTCACACTTGACTATTTTAAAAATTGGTATCGTTTCCTATCACAAAGAAAAACTCAAGTTATCGTTAGGAATTTAAACTTAAAAACGGGCGTAGACGCAATCTGTATGCCTATTTTGGTCTAGATCTAAAACACTTAAAATTCCCATTTATTAAGCACGAGCAAAAACTGGATTTCTATCATGTGGCAAAAGTGTAAGCGTCTCCCCGCAACTTTTTCGGAATTCTATCCAACGTCCTCATAGTTTGCCTTCACTTCCGAGCACCTTTCGGCGCCGGCTACACCCACAGCCTCCACCTCCCTTGCATTTCTAATAACGCTGAAGAGGGAGGGAGGGTGTGAGGGAGTATTTCTGTGTGGGTAAGTGCGCGCGCGCTCCCGCGCGGTTCCCCACCCCCACCCCGATACTTTTCTTTAGTGGAAACAGGGGGACAATCTAGAGGTTATTCTCGCAGAAACTCGTAATCAAAGCCTCAACCCAGCCGCAGTCACCGATAAGACTCCGTGTTTTGGTTGCGCAGTGCAACTTCTCACAACCCTACCCCGAGCTTTCGCAGCAGATGGGAAATGGGCGAGGAGAAACCCGAGGAGGAGTAGGGGCGATCGGGGGGGGGGGGGGGAGTGAAAGGGCCGAGCCCCTCGGAAAGCGCTTAAGTTCGCAACCAAGACTGTGTTTCCGCGAATACGCGCCCACCCTCTGCTCCCCCTTCCAGGTGGAACTCGTTAACAGCAGCAACCCAGCCAACAGACGCCGCCACCTTCCCTCCCCGCGTACCGCCGGAGAGCAGGGCAAGTGAGGGCGGCGGGCGAAACGGACGCCTGGCGGGGCCGGCGCGATCCCCGACCACCACCAGGCCTCCGCCGACCCCGGCCGCGTCACCTGTGGAGAAAGCGCCCCCTCCCCCGGCCTCTCTGCCCTTCACGCCGACCGTCCCCCCCCCCCCCCGCCCGCGGCAGCCGCTCCCCGCCTGGCCTGCGAGGACGGAGCGCGGCGCCAGGCTCCCCTCCGCGGCTGCGGGGCCCCAGCGCCTCGAACTGGTTACAACCGGCGGCGGCGGCCGAGCGGGGCAGCCGGTGGCGGGAGGGTCCCGGTCGGGGAGGGGGCGAGCGGGCAGGCCCAGGGGAGCAGGGATCGCAAGGTCCTACCTAACACCGTCGGTCTCCTCCGTCTCCTCCTCAACGGCAGCGGCCCCGGCGGTGGCGGTGGCGGTGGCGGCGGCAGCGACATTCCTGGGGAGCGCTCCCGCCGCCGCCGCCTCCTCCTCCACTCTCCGCTCGCCTCTCTTCCCGGCGCGCTAGCGCCGCGTCCCTTCAGCCACCTCCCCCCGCCCTCCCCAACACACACGCCCCGAACCCCTGATTGAGCCCTACAGCCCCGGCTGCCGGGTAACCCACCCTCCCTCCCGCCCGCCCGCCACCGGCGGCGGCCCCGTCCCTCCCCCCTTCCCCGGCGCCCGCCGCCCGCCGCCCGCCGCCGCGCCGGGCTCAGTAATGGCGGCCACCCGGGCTCCCTCGCGCTGACGGCTCTCTCTCCCTCTCTCCCGAACTTTACCTCAGCATCTCTCCCGGCGCGCACCGCCGGAACGCACGCGCGCGCGCGCTCAGCCACACACCCGGCCGGGGGCGGAGCGGCGGCGCAGCCTCGACGGGGCGCGCGCGCGCGCACCCGCACCCGCACCCGCACCGCCCTCCCTCCCCACAACTCCCCGCCCCCGCCCCCGCCCCCGCCCCCGCCCCCGCCCCCGCCGCCCTCACCTCGCGGCGCCTCCCGCGCCGCGCGCCCGGCGGGGCCCCGCCCCTGCCCTCCTCTCCGGGGAGCCTGGGAAGGCGCGAGCGCTCGGGCCGGAGGGAGGGGAGCCAGCGCGGGGCCGCGTCCTCGCTCGCGTCCCGGCTGCTCCCCCATTGGCTTCCGCCCCTCCCCCTCCTTCCTCCGCCTCTCCCACCCATTGGTTCCCTCTCCTACTCCGTTCCTTCTCACCTTTTCCCTGTTACCCATTGGCGTGGGCATTTTTCCTCCGCTCTCCCCTTTTCCGTATTCTCCCGCTCCGCCCCCTCCTCCGCGCTGTAGGAGCCGCAGACCACGCAGCCCCGAGCGCGGCCGTCTCGGAACCTTCCCCGCTTTCTCCTTCTCCTTCTGTTCCGGTTTCTGGCTGAAACTGAGAGCGAACCGCAGTACCGCGGAGGAGCCGGATACCGGGTGAGCCGTTGCAAGACCCCGCACGGGCACCGGGAGATTCTCGACCAACCTCCCCCCGGTCTCGGAGCAGCAAAGAATTCAAGGGAGGAGAAGAACGCGCCCTCGCTGGTTCGCGGGGACGCGCTCGCGTGTCTGCTCCTACGTGTGCGGCCGGTTTGCTGCCCGGGGATCGCTCGCCAGCTGCAGAGCTGCAGACCTCACCCGCTCGGACCTGGTGCCGCCCTCGCCCAGAAGGAAAAACTCCACGGGAGCCAGAAGCCCTTTCTCGGTCCACACGGCACGGACGCACGCAGGCCCGTGGCTTATTCTGTTCTTAGGGAAGTTAAGCGAAACCCCAAGACACAGGGGCTTAGGATGGCCCCAAAGGCGCCAGCTCCCTACCAGCCCAACCTTGGGAACCGTCGGCCGCCAGGCTTTTATCATGTTACCTTACGTGTGTGCAAGATTTTTTGAGACCTGGAAATTTTACGAGTTTGGGGGTGCACCGGGCTTTCAGGGTATTTGCCTGCCGAGCACTGGTGCTGACAAGTGGAGAGAGGACAGACGGCAGAAAAATGCCTTTCCTTTTACCGTTGAAGAAATGTGACTTTCCCAAGGTCATCAGAATCTGTCTTATACAGAGGTCTTAAGATAGCTGCCAGCAGATAAAAGAATGAGCAAAAAAACGTGAATCTACTCCTCTAACTTGTTATGTCTAAAAGAAAGAAGTAATCTGGGGGGGGGGGAGAATTTCTCTTTGGGGAAAGATTTGTTTCCTACATTGAGACAGTTCATCGTCAGTAAAGTTAGCGTATGAAAAATCTTTTAAATTCCAGTTACCCTTTATTTCTTAGGTTACATAAGGTGTTGAAGTTAGCCAAGGTTGCTTTTTTGTGCGTTATAATGATGCAGCTGCTGCCAACAGGAAGTACATTTATGGTCTGTTAATAAACTAGAAAACCCAAAACTGCCTTTTGGTAAAGATGGGAAAATATTTGTCAGTAGATCTATTACAATATTCCAGTACAAGTTTGTTGCACACCTCTGCTCCTCTAACTGCCCATATTTCAAAGGTAATCTTAATAGACAAAGCCGAAGAGACATGTTTAAGTTCTCTATGTCTGTTAGTCCCTAATTTTAAAAAGGCATCACTGCAGTTCCTTACTCCAGCCACTTTCTTGCACCTGAATGGTACCAAATAGTTAAGTAGTTAAGGTGTGTTTCTTTCCGTTACAAACCCTAGGCAGGGAAGGATGCAAAAGAAAACTTGGAATCAAAGTAAATACAGAGGAAAAGAAGGAAAAGGGAAAGGAAGAAACTGGGGAAAGGGAGTGGAACCATCAATTTGAGGTACTAATGCCACAAGTATCCATACCATTTGTGCGGGTTGGAAAGTTCATGCATTTAAACGCATTTCTCGACCTTTGTAAAGTCCTTAAAAATACTTTAAGCCTATTCAGAATCACAACTTTGACTCTGAAACGTTAAGTGTTAATAGAGTGTCCACCCTACCTTTAAAAATTACTTCCTAAATAATCAGAAATTTCATAACCATGGACATGTATCAACATAAACCCAAGTCAAATAAATCAAGGCTTTTAAAGGAAGCATCATCGTATTTTTTTTTTTAAGATTTCATTTATTTGAGGCCGAGAAGGGGGGGGGCACAAGTGGTGAGGAGGAGCAGAGGGAGAGGGAGAAGCAGACTCCCCGCTGAGCAGGGAGCTCGATGCAGGGCTTGATCCCAGGACCCCGGAATCATGACCTGAGCTGAAGGCAGATGCTCAATCAACTGAGCCCCCCCAGGCACCCTCCCAGATGGTGGGCATTTAATCCGTGGCTCTTTCCATGACATTTTGCTCTGAGAGCCCATGGATATTAATTCTCAGATACCATTTTCTTCAGTGACCTGTCTTCTCTTCCACTCACCAGGATCAACTAGCAGCAGATATGTACAGCTTTATGTCCAAAGGTGTAGTTTTCACCTTCTTTATACGATGATGCTTCCTTTAAAACAAGACATGATACTAAAGAATCAAGACATGATTCTGGAGAAGAAAACAAGACTTGAAATCTCATTTTCTCGTAATGAAGACCCAGAAAAATGTAACAAACAATTAAAGCCGTGATTTTCAAAGGATAATTTTCGTAGCTAACATTACTGTTGATCCTCCTGCATCATCCGTCTTGATTTAGGGAGTCTGAAACTGTAGAATTTTGCCCCTTATCAATATTAATTGTCTAAAGCTGCTTACAAGTATGAAAAAGTTAACAGATTTTTGTTTTTATATTACTTGCTCTTCTCAAAAAATAAAGCATACACTTTTCTGTACAAATAAAAATCTGAACATAGGAATCGGGGAGCCAAAATTCTGTGGTTGAAGCTGTTCAGATATCTACAAATAAAAGGCTACAAAGAGGAAAAAATAAAGGAAAAAAACAAAGAAAAAGATGGCATCTTTTAAAGTTGGTCAGGAGCCATGCCTACAGAGAAATAGCTTTAAACACCCACCCTCCCCACCCAAAAGAAGAAATTTTGAAAAAATAATATATTCTTTACACACACACACCACACGCGTGCGAGAGAGAGAGAGAGAGAGAGAGAGAGAGAGAGAGAGGAGATGGAGTAAATATTACCAAGCTCTCTTAGATCATCTACTCTTCTTATCTGAAATAAAAGTTTAAGCATTTGTCCTGCTGTACTGGATAATTAAAATTACCCAGAGCTTTGTTCTACATTTACTTTGAAAAAATTAGAATAAGATTTTGGTCAGGCATTTTAATGGTACCAAATAGTTTTAGTTTTTAATCTAAAAATTAATGGTACCAAATAGATTAAGTTTTTAATCTAAAAATTCTCCACAAATCTCTAGTTCTCTAACACATCCTAATAAAGTATTAACATGCATGGTCTTTCTAGGATCAAAAGAGATGACAACCATAAATGTTATCAAAATTCCAGCTCTATCATCAGTGGTAACACTACAGTGTTCAGATGTTTGATGCGGGTTGGCTTCAAAAGAATTTACCCTATAGAAGCAGCTGCACCCCCTGCTGGAAATCTGTGATCATAACTACTCTGGCTTTCATAGCTTCAATGAAGAACGAATGAAAAGCCAAATAAAGGGTCTTTGCATTCACGGTAAAATTGACCAGTGCTTTTTGCATATCTGATACAAGACAGGCTTTTGGAGAACAAACTACTTCAGAATGTCATCTGATTACAGACAAAGAAGTTGGAGAATAACAAAGGCAATTAAATAACCAAAGCACTAAATGATTGTTTGTTGTGTAATTTCCTATTGAATTTCACAACTCATTTCTACCTCCCTTCTAACCCCTACCTGCTGCCTAGAGTTCTCTTTCTCCCTGTCGCATACAGTTAGGACTATCAGGTGGACCAGAGGCAGAGTAAGAGGGGGTGCTTGCTCTTCCCTCTAGTAGGCAAATCATGATATACCCAATAACCCCCAGTAACCATTTGCTGAGTTGCGAGCTGAAAGACTTTCTCCATATTTGTTTTATGGCTACCAATGGCATTTTCAGCATGAAGAAAAGGTGCTAATTATGTCTTGGCTGTTACTGTAGAAAATATTTTGACAAGAGTTAAGGTAATTGTGAGCTTGGGACTGGAACAGTAGTAAAGTAATGCATTGACCTTCCTGGCATTTTGTTCCACAGAGCCTTGTTCTGTTGATTATCCAGAATTGTATTTTTCAGACTGAAATCCCAAAGATGGTATCAGAGTCTAGGTTCACAATGTCATGTTCTTGCCATTCTGGTCCTAGGACATAACTGAAATAATGAAAGTAGAACTCTGTTTTTGAATAATTAGTATCTTATAAGGATTATTTGTAATGCAGACTCCTTTTAAAGGGCTAGCAAGTCAGTGAGGTCCCACCAGCACAAATACTTTAATTAAGCAAAAATCCTCAAGTTATATTCTCTCACAAAAGAAGGTATTATTGGGCCATCTGGACCCTCCATTGAGTTTTCATGAGGGATCACAGCTTGAATTTAATCAACCCCAATAAGGTTAACCCCACAAAGCTAAAAAACAATTGTAGAGATTGCTAACTTAATTCTGTCTTTGAGATTGTTACCACTGTCATTTGTAAATCATTACAATGTGAAACAGGAACTTGTATTGCTTAAATATTTAACCATAAGAATATAATTTTTGTGAATACCCCCTTATCCCTGCTCTTTTTAGGCCAAATTTGGATTGTGAGCCCCCCTAGGTAAGAACCCTAAATGAATGTTTGGCCCTATACAATAACTAGAACATGGTTAGTAGAAAGCCCAATGAATGTTTAATGATAATAATATGAAACACTCTTAAATTTTATAGATTTCTGTGGATTCATTACTCACAGAAGGCCTTAGATTATATCTAATGCCAGCTGAGATAATCACTTTGGAAAATACAAATCATTTAAAGAAATCTCTAAATTAGCCTGTAAAAATCAAGTTAGGTGTCCTTGCCTGAGTATGACCCATATTTCTCCACATTACATCTCTCTAGAAGGTAAATGTGAGTTACTAACAACCAGTAACTGTAGATCTGAAACATCAGAGAACCTTGTATAGAACTGGTGTAGCATAAGAGTTTCTGAAATCATGAGAAGCTGTCTAATCACTACACAATTAAAGCTTTGTTATTTTTCCCTATCATTATAAGCTGCAATAGATGCTAAACGTTTGCTTTGCCGATCCGTGCTTTTGCATTTTCTTCAAAAAGCTTCTCAAATAATAATGTGTTTTTTTAATGGACACACAACTTCTTTCAAACACATCTATTACATAGTGAGAGATAATAATACTCTTCTTTCCCTAAATAGGCTTCCAATCTCTCTTCAACACACTCTAGCACAGGACTAGAGCATATGCTTCATTTATTTCTAGCTTTAGTACCCATAGAAATTCTATTTTCTCCTTAAAAAGTATTTACATTAGAAGTTCTGAGACTTTACAGACATGGTAACAAAATAAAAGTAAGTAGCAAAAATTCATAAGGTGTCCTGTAGGTCAAATTCTTATAAAATTGTATTTAAATATAGGCAAATATTTAAAATATTTTAAAAGTATAGATTTCTTTTTTTAATAAATTAATTTTTATTGGTGTTCAATTTACCAACATACAGAATAACACCCAGTGCTCATCCCAACAAGTGTCCCCCTCAGTGCCCGTCACCCATTCACCCCCACCCCCCGCCCTCCTCCCCTTCCACCACCCCTAGTTCGTTTCCCAGAGTTAGGAGTCTTTATGTTCTGTCTCCCTTTCTGATATTTCCCACACATTTCTTCTCCCTTACCTTATATTCCCTTTCACTATTATTCATATTCCCCAAATGAATGAGAACATACACTGTTTGTCCTTCTCCGATTGACTTACTTCACTCAGCATAATACCCTCCAGTTCCATCCACGTCGAAGCAAATGGTGGGTATTTGTCGTTTCTAATGGCTGAGTAATATTCCATTGTAAAAGTATAGATTTCTGAGGTAGAAAAATATCTATAATGATTTCCACAAAAAAAAATCAGGCTGCAAAGAAGTAAAGGTAGTATGATTCCAGTTTTGTAAAACAAAAATGTTTTGAAAACAAGATGATAATATTATTGCCCAACATGTTAACAGAGATTTAATCTAGAGGCTGGATTAAAGCTAATATTAATTTTCTCCTTTGTGCTTTTATGTATTTTCTAATATCTTACAACAAACATATTATTTCTTGTGCAATAAAAATTTGGATTACAGTGGTCTTGAAAATGGAGTGATATAATATATAAGCAGAATAAGGTAAACTCTTTTGAAGCGATTGGACTGCCTACCACATTAACCTATTTCTTTCTCTTTTAATATTTCTTTTCTTCTCTTTTTTTCCCTTTTACTCCTACTTTAGTTGTTTCTACTTTCTTCCTTCTTTACCTTTTGATTCTCCATCCGCTTTTCCTTCTCTCTTAATTATCTCTTGGGCCTTTTACAGGCCACCTTGGGCATTGACTGGTTCCATCTGAGCAACCTCTGATGTAATGGAAGGAACTTTCCTAGGTAAACATATTATTGCAATCACTGGATTGCAGTCTGCCTTGATGACTTTTTTTTAAAGGTCTTACAGACCAAAACATATCAAGGAACATACATTTTGCTACATTTAATAACAATATTTATTTTTAATTTTGTAAGTCTGCCAATAGTATTGCCTATACTGCTGATCTCACAGCACAGTCTATTTTTAAGCTGTTTCTACCCTAAGACTGTTCAATAGCTTTCAGGTATAGACAATAGATAGTACCTCTAATGCTGATAATGCTGAGCTGATCTTTCCACATGCAGTGGTAATTCCCTTTGGACCACAAGGATTATGATAAAATTTGTTCCATTTGGATGGTTTCCCATGTGGATTTGCTGGTACTTAGGTTACCTTTGGCTTCCATCACCCCAGGGAACTGAGGGTTGCTGTTTTAAGTTGGGGCATTTATCTTGTAGCACTCCTCTTCACTACATCCTCCTCAGCACAGTACAATCAATTACCAGTTTAAAGAAAAGGCTCAAATGGTCTTACTATAGTGCAAAGGAATGCTGGGGCACAAATTCATCTGCAATAGAAAGCCCACCAAACTGGAAATCAGGAGACCTGAACTTGTATCTCGGGTTTTGCTTATTGTATGATCTTCAGAAGTCATTGAAGCTCCCTGAGCTGAAATTTCTGCATCCACAAAATTGTCTGTTTGCCACTCTGACATTATCAAGTTTGAAATTATTTTGCAGGGTTAGCCCAGGAACCAGGCTTCACTTTTTCCTGGTTCACACTTAGTTTAACACCTCCTCATACCTTACCACCACACCCAGGACAAAGCTGTTACTCTCAGCTTCCCTATCAGTTTTGTCTAGGGCCCTTACTTCATCTCTCCCTACAAAGAGAAAAAACAAACAAACAAAAAACCTTCATCCAGATGAAACTACGTTAATTTACATTTCTCTAAAACTCATCCCTATAATTGATTTCATTAGCTTTGAACCTCTGGATTTCCCAAAACAAGCCTGCCACTCTTGTTATAAGGTCAACTGCTCCTAACCTTCTTTGCCAAAAGGTCACCCTGTGGCTTCCAAGTCCACAGTTCTCTATACTCCCACAATGTATCATCATTTTGCATACCCCCCAAAGTACTATAATCCAGAGCATCCAAGTAGCCAATACTGAATCCCCATAATCCATGGCCTTGTTTCCGTTGTGTCCCTGTAGTCAATCCTGTTTCTATCTTTAGCCTCAGA